TAATTAAATCAGAATATCGGAAGGGATGATACACAGAGGACTCATTTAAATGGTCCCTCCCAAAAAAAGGAATAGTCCCCCAGGTGAATCTAATGCGCAAGGCTGAGACCAGTGCTCTAAACCAGTGGTTTTCAAACTTGAGTGTGCATCAGAATCACCAGAAGGGCATGTTACCACAGTTTTCTGGGCCCCACCCAGAGTTTCTGATACAGTTGGGGTGGAGCCTGAAATTGCATTTCTAACAAGCCAATGCTGCTCGTGGAAGGGGCTCTGCACTCTGAAAGGTAAAGACCACCTAAGCCACAGGTTCTCAACCTTGACTGCACTTGAGAATCACTGGGGGCATTTTTAAATGACTCATGCCTGAGCTCCTCCCTAAACCAATTATACTGGAATGGCCAGGGCCCAGGGATCAACATTTTAAAATTTCTCTCTAGGTGATACTAATGTGTAATGAAGTTTGTGATCCCCTACCCTAGACCTAGAGATTGTACAGCTGGAAAAGACCATTTAGTGCAAACCCTTCAATCCTCCGGGAATTTACAGTTATAATACTTCAACTACTACTGATTCACATGTCCCAACCCCAATTTCCACTATTCTTCCTTAACCATTACTATGCATCAGCAATGTTATCAACCTAGGTGATCAACTTTTTTCCAGGCTTGCCTGAGATACTCCTAGTTTTAGCTCCAAAAGTCCCAGCTTCAGAGTAAATGGGGACAGTTGGTCCCTGTATTGTTTTACAGCTCACAGACTGGATTATGGTACTACTAGAGGGCTGGTGCATGAAATTCATGCACGGGGCAGGGGGGTGTCCTTTAGCCCAGCCTGCACCCATGTCCACTGCCCGTTTCAGCCTGATCTTACCAGGACTGCTGGCTCCCAACTACTTGCCTGCCTGCCTTCCTCATTGCCCCTAACTGCTTCTGCCTGCCAGCCTGATCTCCTCCTAATGACTCCCATGCCAGCCTGGTTGATGTGTAACTGCTTCCCTGCCAGCCTGTTTGCCCTCAACTTCCCTCCTCTGCTGGCCTGGTCCCCTCTAACTGCCCTCCCCCTGCAGGGTTGATCGCCTGCAACTGCCCTTCCTTTCAGGCCTGGTCTCTCTCAACTGCCCTCCCTTACAGGCCTGTTGCCTCCCAACTGCCCTCCCCTGCTGGCCATCTTGTGGTGGCCATCTTGTGTCCACATAGGGGCAGGATCTTTGACTACATGGGGGCAGCTATTGTGTTGGAGTGATGGTCAATCTGCATATTATTCTTTTATTAGATAGGATAGAGGCCTGGTGCATGGGTGGGGGCCAGCTGGTTTGCCCTGAAAGGTGTCCCGGATCAAGGTGGGGGTTCCCTTTGGATATGTGGTGGCCTGGACAAGGGGCCTGTGGTGGTTTGCAGGCCAGCCACACCCCCTGGTGACCCAAGCAGAGGTCCTGGTATCTGGAATTTATTTACATTCTACAATTGAAATTTTGTAGCCTGGAGCGAAGCCAAGCCTCCTGCTAGCTCCATGGCAGGCAGCCATTTCTGTTGGAATTTATGTATCTTCTATAACTGAAACTTTGTAGTCTGGAGTGGAGGCCTGGGCTGGCCAGGGTGTGTGGAAAGCTTTGCTTCCTCCATTGCCAGGGCAACCCTAGCCTTCTGCTCTTTCCAGCTCCGTGGCTGTCCCATTTCTATTTGGATTTGCTTACCTTCTATAATTGAAACTTTGTAGCCTTGAGTGGAGGCTTAGGCCAGCAAGGGCAGGTGGAAAGCTTGGCTTCCTCCATTGCCTGGGAAACCCAAGCCTGCCTCCTGCTCTCTGTGGCTGTAACCATCTTAGTTTGTTTTATTTGCATACTCACTCTGATTGGCTGGTGGGCATGGCTGGTGGGTATAGTGGAGTAATGGTTAATTTGCATATTACTCTTTTATTAGGTAGGATATTTTTTATTTCAGAGAAGAGAGGAGAGACAGAAACATCAATGATTAGAGAGAATCACTGATCAGCTGCCTCCTGCACACTGTACAGGAGGGGATTGAACTCGCAACCTGGGCATATGCTCTGACAGAGAATCAAACTGTGACCTCCTGGTTCATAAGTTGATGCTCAACCACTGAGCCATGCCAGCTGGGCACTTGCTATGTTTTTAACTGACATAACGTTGGTTTATACCATTATAAGTTTTAGGTGTGAAACATTATAATTCAACATGAACTTTTTTGAAGCTTAAATGAGTAGTTTAATACTATTTGGATTTTATATTGATGTGTAAATGTGTTGTTTTATTTTTAAAAATAGAGAAAAACAAGGAATATTTAGAACACTTGCCTGTATCAACTAGCTAAGAGTTTAACAATTCATATAGAAATACACACATAAAAATGGCACTGTTACCCTGGCTGGTTTGGCTCAGTGGATGGAGTGTTGGCCTGCGGACTAAAGGGTCTTAGGTTCAATTCCAGTCAGGGGCACATGCCCCCATTGGGGGCTCCATCCCCAGTAGGGGCCGTGTAAAAGACAGCCGATCAATGATTTTCTCTCATCACTGATGTCTCTGTCTCTCTTTTCCTCTCCCTTCCTCTCTCGAATCAATAAAAAAATGACACTGTTGACAGCCACAAAAAATGACAGGAGCATGATTCTAAAACCATCTGATTTACAAAGTATAACTAACAGAATTATCAGGAAACTGATTAAATACAGTCAATCCTACATTTATTCAGTTGATATCCCTTGGTAAATATCTAAATTAAAAACAGAAAGATGACTAGAATTAGCCAGAAGATGTAAGAAAAAGCATATTCCAAGTTGAGGAAATAGAATGTGAAAAGGACCAGAATGTGAAAGTTGTCCTTTTCAGGGAAAGAAATTCAATGTGTATAGAAATGAGGTTACCCAGATTATGAAGAGGATTTGAGGCTGCATCAAAAATATTTTTCCGCTGAAACCGGTTTGGCTCAGTGGATAGAGTGTCAGCCTATGGACTGAAAGGTCCCAGGTTCGATTCCAGTCAAGGGCATCTACCTTGGTTGTGGGCACATCCCCAGTAGGGGGTGTGCAAGAGGCAGCTGATCGATGATTCTCTCTCATCGATGTTTCTAACTCTCTATCCCTCTCTCTTCCTCTCTGTAAAAAAACAATAGAAATATATTTTTTTTAAAATTTTTTCCTATTGATTATTAGAGAGAGTGGAAGTGATGGGGGGAGGATGGGAGAAGGGAAAATAGGTAGAGATAGAGACAGAGATAGAGAGACATCAATATGAGAGAGACACATCAATTAGTTGCTTCCTGCATGCATCCCAACCGGGGCCAGGGATCAAACCTGCAACCAAGGCACATGACTTTTACTGGGAATGGAACCCGCAACCCTTCATTCTGCAAACTGACACTCTAACCATTGAGAAAATCTGGCTAGGGCTCAGACTTTATTTAAAAAGCAACAAAATGCCAATGACAGACAGATTTTAAGCATTAGAGAAACACAATGAGATGGGCATTTTAGAAAACTCACTCTGGTCATAGAGGATGAAATAAATGGGAGCAAGAGTGGAGAAAGCAGCAGCGGTTGGGAAGATGGCCCTGTCAGTAACAATCTGGTGAGAGATGATGGTAACCTGGCGGATGGAGACTCAGTAATTCACTGGATGTTGGGCAGGAGGTAGAGAAAAAGGACTCGGAATTCCAAGACTTCGGACTTGAGTGACTGAGTAGATTGGTATATTCTTACAGGTTGGGAAAGATGTGAAACATTCAACATGAGATATGTTGAGTTTGGAGGACCTAAAATATAGCCAGGTGGAATCTACCTTATAGGCATTTGGATACAGGAATCAGAAAGATGGGTCTGACTTAGATAACTAATAGATGGGATTGCCATTTACAGATATGGAGAAGAAAGGATGCAAAAATAAGTCGCTTTACATTTAAATATTTTTCAATTATAAAATAATATAACCCAATTACATGAAACAAAATATAGAGAAATGGAAATAAAACATATAGCTATCATATATCAACATTCCTTATCATTTTAATTATTTTTCTTGTATATATAAATGGATATTTATATATTAGCTTTAATAACCTTTTTTTTTTCTGAGAAGGAGGCTTTTCCAGAAGTATTTAGAATTGATAAAAATTAAAAACAGTGATTGGCCTTATATCATTTTGTAAATCAAACAATGTTTGCTAACTTACACGTCCTAGGGCTGCAAAAAAATCTAAATTGTTGGGCAAGTGTTTAATAAAGAAATCAGGCACCAGAGAATGTCATTTTAAATATCCAGTTTATTATTGTATATACTAGATCATTAAGGGGGTTCTGGAACTTTCTGTCTTTACACTATGCAGCACAATTGTAGGTAGTCAATCTCTTCTCTGAAGATCTCCTTTCCCTTGGGATCTCTATTACACCATTTCTCCCTCCACAGGTGAGAACTAATTGGTGCTATTGCTCCTAAGATTAACCACATTTTAAAAAGGGTATTCTAGAAGCCTCAAAGCGTAGGAAACCCAAAGGACTGAAGTTCATGCAGTCACCCTGCAATCACTTTATAGCTTACTCTGCTTTTTGAAAAATGTTAGACTTGATTCTATTCATAATCCTTGGTAACTCAAGAACACAGAACATATCTAATAAAATCTCTGGGCAAATACAGAGACCTGAGACAATGTGACATTATTATGAGATGCTGAGAAAAACTCAGTTGTTGCCACACCACAGGCAGTTTCAGACTAACGGAGCCAGGACAGGCTGACAACAACAGGAACAGTTCAGATCCAGGGCCAAGGAGTGGTCACAGCAAACAAACGCACATGGAAACAAGGAAAGCTGAAAACGAAGGTAATAAATCGGGCTCATGTAGGAAAGTTTACTATATTCTTCCTACTCATGATCCAAAGATTGTTTTCCCCAGGAACCCTCTCAGGGTCTGCAATGTAACAATATGCCAAACCTGGAAGTTAATGAAATTTCAGCCTTAATGAAGATCCCACCATCTTGTAGGAGGCTGCTTATCGAGTAAAGAGGAACACCAGCTCACAGTGTAGGGTGTGGGGGAACAGATCCACAGGCACAGCTTGTCTCAGGACAAAAGGCTTGCCAAGAAGCTTCTTATCAGAGTTTGGGGGACAACACAGCCTGTAGAACAAGATAGAAATAAGATCAGTTCCTAGAAACCAAGGAGAACTTCCAGTAACACAATTTCTTAAATTTTAAGCTCTGCCTCTGTGTTCCCACAGTCCTTTGTGTTTTTTTTTCTATAATAGTATCTATCATATTTAATGTAACTACCTGTTTTTTTAAGTCATCTTCCTCACTGGAGTCTAATCTTTTTGAAATGAGGCAAAAACTGCTTATTATTCATCTCTATGTTCCCAGTATGTGACACAGACTCAGGGTTAAATGATGAATGGAGCAAGGGACCTAGGTCATATACTTTTCTGTATTATTTACACAAGTAGGTAATTAATAAATATGACTGAGTTAAATTATTCTATTGAAATGTTTCAAAGTAGATTATTTTTCACCTTACTTCAAAGGCAGTCAAGCAAAAACTGAAAACAGCAATTCACCTATAAATTCACCAGAGAGGATAAACACTGTTAACTTTGCAAAATATACCTTTCCAACAATGGATACTTAACCTGGTTTCTTAAAATGGAGTCACACTGTATAATACTGTACATATTCCTTTACAAGCAGTTTCTTCAGATAATAATACATCATGATCATCTTTAAAAAAGTCCTCACCTGAGGATATGTTTTTATTGTTTTAGAGAGAGAGGAAGAGAGAGAGAAGCATCAATGTGTGAGAGAAACATCAATTACTTGCCTCTCATATGTGCCCCAACCAGGATCGAACCCCAACCCAGGTATGTGCCCTGACTGGAAATTGAACCGGCAATCTTTTAGTGTATGGGACGATGCTCCAACCAAGTGAGCTACCGGGCCAGGGCCATCATGAGCATTTTTTCACTATATTATTATGTGTAAAGCTACCTCACCTTTTTTTTTGGCTATATATTATTTCCTTAAGTAAACTGAACACAGTCTAGATATCTAGTTCCTTGTTATTGGAAATTTAAGCTGCTTCTAACTTTTGGCTATTTCAAAAAGTCACTTCATAAATACTCTAGTTATATCTTCGCATACATTTTTAGTTATTTAATGGAACTGCTAGGTTGAGGGGCTCTATGTTTTTAAGGCCCTACAACATATCCCATTGTTACAACAAAAAAGGTTGTACCAATTTACACTGAAACCAACAAAGCAGAAGACTTATTTCCCTGGCTAACACTCAATAGTTTAATCAGTGGTTTTCAACCTTTCTAATGCTGTGACCCTTTAATACAGTTCCTTATGTTGTGGTGACCCCCAACCATAAAATTACTTTTGTTGCTACTTCATAACTGTAATTTTGCTACTGTTAATGAATCGTAATGAAAAATCTGTGTTTTCTGATGGTCTTAGGCTCTATAGTAGCGGTTAGACTTGATTCCAGTCATAATGATGGTCTAACCACTAGCAGGGTCACCCAAGACCATCGGAAAACACAGATATTTAGATTACAATTCATTAATCGTAAAGGTCCCATCCATAATAGCAATAAAAACTTTACAATATCTTCTCTTAACCTTAAAAAAAAGACCTATGTCGGAAAAAATGTGTGTGTGTCTGTGTGTGTGTGTGTGTGTGTGTGTGTATCTTTGAAATTACATAAGACCTAAGTAACTGAAGAAACATACCACATACCTAGACAGAAAAAAATACTGTAAAGATTGTAATTCTCCCTAAATTAATAGATTCAATATTCTTCTAATCACAATCCCAAAAGGTTATTTTTGATAAGTTGATTCTACTACAGCTCTGTTAGAAAACATACAGAAGAGGAATGGTGACATGAGAGATCCTCTTGGCCTCTCCCCTTGAAATTTCAACTAGTTATCCAACTATAATTCAACAAAGAAATCCCTGCTCAATACAGACACCTGAGAGACCTGTGCATTGAAACATTAAAGGTAGGAAACGGAATAAGTGGGAAGAGGACAAGGGAGGAAAGCGCAAATGGCCTATAGATGAAGCCCTGGAGAGGAGAGAAAACTGGTAGTAGCAGGTGCTTCCTTTGGCTAGGAGGAACAGAGAGATGGGGTGGGGGTACCTGGGGGGTACCCAGCAGGACAAGCTGAGCTGAGTGTCTGAGCCAGAAAATGCCTGACAAAGCACAAGGTTCTGCTGTGCAACTCTCCACTGTAAACCAAGAGATGGTGTTTCAGACCATGAAATGGAACCACAGAGCCCTGCCACCGCTTACACTCCCCAAACACCCCCCATTGCCCTTAGAGTTGGGTTGAGGAGCACATTATCTGTAAATCAAGAGCTATTGCAGTAGATCCACTGTTTCCCTCTATGTCTGATCCCCAGTGCTTGGGGTAGGACCTTACAGAAGTCAAGGGTCGCCATTATGGTGAGGGCAAAACAAACCCCACCCCCAAACGATGCAGATGTACTGTCTTTTTTAAAAATATATATATTTCATTGATTTTCTTACAGAGAGAACTGGAGGATAGAGAGGAACATCGATGAGAGAAAACATCAATCAGCTGCCTCCTGCACACCTCCTACTGGGGATGTGCCCCCAACCAAGGTTCATGCCCTTGACCAGAATCAAACTTGGGACCTTTCAATGCAAAGGCCAATGCTTTATCCACTGAGCCTAACCGGTTAGGGCACAGCTGTACTGTCTTACAGAATCCTAGGAGGTCAAGTTTGGGAGAGTACAGAGGTAATAAAAAAAATAAATAAATAAAAAAATCTTGTGATTCAGCGCCATCTACTGGGAAACAGTAAAAAAACCTCTTCAGAGAAAGCTGCTATATATAAGACCATTGATATAGACAGATTGATATACACAGAGTGCCCAGATTATTATGATCTCTGAATGCATAATAATCTGCCCACTCAGTGTGTGTGTGTGTGTGTGTGTTTGTGTGTGTGTGTGTGTGTGTGTATGTGTACATATTAGAGACCCAGTGCATGAATTTGTGCATGGGTGGGGTCAGGCCAACCTGGCCAGTGGGAGGGGACATGGGCAGTTGGCTGGCCTGCCTGCTGGTTGAACTTCTGGTAGAGGGGACAATTTGCATATTAGCCTTTTATTATATAGGATATACACTGAGTGGCCAGATTATTATGCGTTCAGAAATCATAATAATCTGGCCACTCAGTGTACATGCCTAGGCAAAGGAGAACAGCAGATACCATGAATAATCATAGTAATGAGGATGATCACAAATAAAATGAAAATCACCAGAAAGCAAGCTTGAACACATAGAAATATGTGATATAAATGACTGAGATTTCATATTTGCAGTTCTGAAAATATGCAAGGAAATACAGACAGGCAATTCAATGCATTCAGAAAACAAATCAGCCTGGCAGGCGTGAGTGTGTACACAATTTGATTCCTAGTCAGGTGAAATGCCTGGGTAGCAGGCTTGATCCCCAGTATAAGGCATGCAGGAGACAGCCAATAAATGATTATCTCTCATCATTGATGTTTCTATCTCTCATTCCCTCTCCCTTCTCAGAAATTGATAAAAATATAATTTTTTAAAAAGAAGGCCAATCAATAAACAAAACAAGTACTTTACCATAAAGATTAAAAAAATACCAATCAGAAATCATATAAATGAAGCATGCAATTAAGGTGATTAAGAGTTAACTACTGAGGCCTGGCTGGTATGGCTCAGTGCACTGAGCACTGTCCCATTGACTAATAGGTCCTGGGTTCAATTCCTAGTCAGGGCCCATACCTGGGTTGTGGGCTCGATCCCCAGTAGGAGGCATGCAGGTGGCAGCCAATCATTGATTCTCTCTCATCATTCATGTTTCTAGCTCCCTCTCCCTTTCTCTTTATCTAAAAATCAATAAAAACATATTTTTAAAAAAATTTTTTAAAGAGTGGAACTATTGAGCACAGAAAAGAAAGCCAACCTGATGGAGGAAAGAATTAGTGATAACAAAGATAGAAATCTAGAAATGATGCAGAAAGAAGAGAGAGACCTGGGCATAAAGAAACATGAAAGAGCTCAAGAGAACCATCTGACTCCATCAGAAAAAGGAACATTAGAATAATAGGCATTCCAGAAGAGGAAGAGACAGAGAAGGGGACTGAGAGTTTATTCAAACAAATAGTGGATGAGAACTTCTCAAACTATGGAAAGAACTAGATCCTTGAATCAAAGAAGCAAACAGAACACTAGTTACCTTAATCCAAAGGGGCCATATCTAAGGCACTTTGTATTAAAACTATCAAAAATTAATGACAAAGAAAAAAGCAGCCAAGAAAAAAAAGGAAGTAACCTACAAAGAAAAACGCACCCAACTTCTTAGCAGAAACTCTATAAGCCAGAAAAGAGTGGAACCAAATATTCAAATATCTGAAACAGAGAAATTATCAGCCACAAATATATCCAGCAAAATTATCCTTGAAATATGAAGAAGAAATAAAGACATCCCTAGATATAGAGAAGTTGAAGGATTTTATCACCAAAAAACCTCCATTGCAGGAAATACTCAAGGGAGTTATTCTACCTGAAACAAACAACATAAGGTTACAACACTAAGAGTAATATCACCAAAAAACATATAGCACAAACAGGAATATTTTGTGACAACAAAAGCAAGGAAGGGGAGGGGTAATGCTCTGAACTGGCAAAGGAGGATGAAAATCACATGCATTCAAATGGAAAAAAAACACACCTGTATATATGCAAGTTTATTTTTAAAACGCTAAAAGACAAAAATCCCCCAAACCAGGACACATAGCTTATAAAAGGAAGAAACAGAAGAAAGAAATATGGAATACCACCAAACAAAAGCAACAAATAGAAACATAAAGGAAAAGAACCAATGGAGGCACAGAGCTAGCAGGAAACAAAAGATAAAATGGCTATAGGAAATCCTCATACATCAATAATTAACCTAAATGTAAATGGTCTGAAATCACCAATAAAGAGGCACAGAGTAGCAGATTGGATTGAAAAACAACAACAACAACAACAGCAACTTATGCTGACTACAAGGGTACAACTAAGCTACAAAGACATAGGTAGATTCAAAGTAAAAGGGAGGAAAAT